AAGAAAAAGAAAACGCAGTTTTTTCTAGGCACAGTGATAGTTGGGAATTCAGTGTTGTCCGTTCACGATCATTATCTGCGCTTTTAACTTTATTTGAGATCCCCTCTCCTTCACACCGAGAAAAGTGTGAAACAAGTGTATGCAAAAGATCGGAGTGAAAAAAAAGTTGAAAATGGTTTCTCCTAAAAAAGCTATTTTTCAATTTTTCTGAGTAAAATGTGTTTTTCTTCCCACACTTTGGAATCATAAGATGATATTTTTATTGTATCGCAGGTTGAGGTGCGATTAGCGTGACTAAAATACAATGAGTTTTTAAATTGAGCAGCATTTTAACGTTTCTGCAAGTGACAGCGCCTCCACCAAAGAAGAAATATTGTTAGGCTGAAAAACAATTCGTTTTAGCCAGTTAGGAAAAGGTATTCGGTCAGAAACTTTTAAAAATTGAATGAGTTAAATAAACCTTCTCAAGAAGAACTGCTGTTACAATTACTTCTCGACCTGTGTCGCTTTGCTTCTTCATTAAAATCCTTTGAGCGTTATATTTAAAGCGGATTGATGACTTTTGACAGCGGGTGTTGTTTTGCTACTATCTTTCAGTGCTGTATCAGCGCACAAGTTTCCGGAAAATTTGGCGATGGTAACTCAGGAAGTCAGTTGGGACACTGGTGGACAAACACAAGCACGCCATGATCGATTCATTTGCGCTGGGTTTCATAAAAAACAGAATTCTTGAGCTTTCATCACTTCTCCAGGTTCGGTGCAGTATCAGAATGCCTCGCTTATGGCACAGTAGCCGTATGCCTGTTGCAACTTGACTGTAAACCTCTGGAAAAAGATATGCGCGCTAGAGAAGTTTACCCACTTTTTTGACGAAGGCGTGTGCAGAAAAAATCGCATAAATTTTTCATTTCAAATTTCATTTTTGTTCTACAGACCTCAGAATTTTAGCAGAAACGCACATTTTTGTAAACTCGTACCAGTAAAGTCCTTGTGCTCACTGGATACACAGTGATTGGGCTAATAAAATAGCCGGTGTAAAAAATTAGCTTTTAAGCTACACTTCAACTGCTAATGACTTTTATGGTCGAAACACTGAACGATCAGGGAAACTACCACTCCATTTTTGTAGTGTTAGAAGAATATTAAAAAGAAGTACCTTCTACCACGCCATTTTTTGTGCAAGATTGTCAACCGCAAGCACACAAAAATTCTTCCGCATATATACCAAAAACTGCTGGAAACACAATAACAAAATAACGTTTTCTGCCAGCAACCAGCATCGAGTTTCAAACATGGCGGTCGAAAAAGTCCAGTGGAAGAGCAGAGCGATACAAATCAAAGAAGGACCAGTAAAATGCATCGTTAACTGATTCTTGGAGTCTCGTCTTCCCGCTTGGATCTTAACGTATGGTGCTGTAAAAATATTACCTTGTGATACTTATGTGTTGTGAAAAATTATATTTTAAGTAACATATCATACTCAAAGAATTTAAGATTTATGTTCTCAGAAGAAGTTCTTATACTCGTTTTTATCAATTTTTCATGTAACTTATAAATATGCTTGTTTCGGTACTTTTCTGGGTGTGCAAGAGATATTATCTCAAGTGAGGTAAAAACAACGAAAGCTCCTAGTGCGTAAGTTAAAGTTCCTAGATAATACCGTGTTAAACAAACACCGTGTTCTCTTTCCCTCGTTAGAACTGTCTAACTTCGCTCCACAGCGCGTTTTGACGTAATCCTTCTTGATTCTGCGACCAGTTAACAAGAACTCCAAATTCTTAAAAAATAACGAGAAGCTGAGAGGTTGACTCAAAAATTGTGCGGTTCCAATTCAAATTCCATGCCCATGCAGTGCGGGATATGATTTTAACACCGATGCGGTAGGCAGATGAGAATCAAAGAGTGACCAGTTGTAATTTTTTTTTTATTCATGGAAAAGGTTACAGCTGTGCATCATGTAACTGAATACTGTGACCTAAAAAACAAGCATGTATGGACCATTCCACGCCAAATCGCACACGTTTGAACATCACCCTCTCAGATTTATTTCATTTTTTGCTGATTAGTCGAGTCTAGGCCAGCATAAAGAAAGCAACAAAGAAAACCTGGAAAAGTGAATTCCTCGCCAAGTTACACCCCCCAAAATTTGTCAGGTTGCCGCTTGAAATGCCTATCTTTAGAGCTTTGTAATTCGGCCCGTTCTTAACGAAATCTAAACATTTTTGATTCATTGTGTTTAAAGTATTTATTATGTCTTGAATTTTTAAAAAAATATCAAATAATTCGATTCTGATAAAAATACACAAAGATATAATAAAAACAAAATTTTAAACAAACATAGAGAAAAAACACGTCTTTAAATTTTTTAAAAAAGATATATTTTGTGTAGAATTTTTTTCTCTACAGCATATCGAAATTTGGAGATGGCGATTTTTTGATATCGGGAGCTACGAGCAGGAATAGGATTTGAAACTGAAAAAAAAGCATTATTTTCACAGTAATTCCATGTTTTTTACAGCGGCGAAATCGTTCGGAGCCGCTTCCGAAGGCCGCAGTTAGCAGCTACAAATATCCCGTATGCTTTAAATCTCAAAAGCTCTCTAGCAAAATTGTGCTTTACTTTAATAATATCAACAAAATATTATTCTGCAGGGTTATAATGGGTAGCCTTTACTCCAGGGTTTTTCATTTCTCGTGTTTTATTCTGCCAAAACTGTGTAGCTATTATACGTTTTGACGTCGCAAAGAAATCTAAGAACTCACTGCTTTGCTTGGGTAACTGTTAGATTTAGGTTATACTCAAAACTTTCTGTGCTTTTGGAGAACTGCAACACATAATTGCAAAGAAGAACAAGTCGACTTGGCGAAAACTTTGATGAGTACACGACAGAGACAATTCTTAGCACTGAGAAACACGACATACAAAAATTCAGGACATAGCAAATACGATGAATCAAAAATGGTCAGATTTTGTTTAGAATGGGCTGAATTACAAAGCTCTAAAGGTAGGCGTGTCAAACGGCAACCTAACAAATTTTGGAGGGGAGGGGGTGTAACTTAGCGGGAAATTCACTTTTCCAGGTTTTCTTTGCTGCTTTCTTTATGCTGGCCTAAACTCTACTAATCAGCAAAAAATGAAAAAAATCTGAGAAAGTGATGTTTATACGTGTGCGATTTGGCGTGGAATGGCCCATATATATCTTCCATGTGATGCCAAGCGGCACACTTTTTCAGTTTGACCTCTCAGAATTTTTTGATTTTTTGCTTATTTGTTGCACTTGATACCCAATGGGGGAATCAAAAGAGTTTACCTCAGAAAGGGCGCTGAAGCCAAAGTTAGACCGTGCTAAAGTGCGTAGAAAAGCGTAGGTTCTTCTCAACACGATTATGCTTCAGCACTTTTAATTTTCTTTATTCGCAGTGCACTTTTGTAGTTCCTCTTTTTTAGAAGCTCTTCTTTTGCAGATTCAGAAAAGTGATGAAATGTGTACACTGACAAATTTTTTACAAAACTGAATTAAAAACAGAAATTAGGAAAGACCTTCTTAGAAGAATGACACTTTGAATCTTTCAAGAGAAACGCTTTTCAAGGTATAATTTTTGCATAACATATCAAGATCAAAAGGTGGTGTGTTTGTGGTATCACAAGCTACGGTGCAATTAGTGACAG